CCAAATTCGCGCGCCCGCCAACCCAGTCACAGAATACCATGCTTAGGTCGGGGATGTGCCCCTACAGGCGGATTTCGGGCGAAAAAAACAAAAAGTTGTCAAGACAGACTCAAAGATGGTCAGAGAATGGTTGAAAAATAACACCCAGACTGTTTGCTGACAACTTGTGGGTATTTCTCCTGTAGAGGGACGTGCCCGATTTAATACCATGCGTGCAACACGCGTGCGCCTCCGCCAGTGCACGTCGAGATCCATCGAAACGATAGCTTCCTAAAATCTCTCCAGCACAGAAGGGTTAGAACAAAATGTGTCCGGGATTCTGAATTCGCCCAAGATTCAGAACTTCTGCGGGCGCGCACTTCCTCATCATAACCGCCGCCGTCATTATCGTCACCGTCACTGCCGTCGCCCTCGCCCGAATTCTCCGCACTTACTCGTTATCGTCACCACCATCATCATCACCACCAATGCTATCACCATCATCAGCAGCAGCATCATCGCCAGCGTTATCGTTGCCACCGTCATGATCATCCCATCACAGGGGCTATCATCAAGATATTCCCCGCCGTCGTCTTGCACATACATATCATCATCACCATCATCAGCACCATCATCGACATCATCACCACCGTAATCGCCATCGCCATCTTCATCGGAATCGTTGCTGTCGCGAGCCAATCCAGTTTTGTCAACAGCGTGACGTGAAAATGAGGAATGTCTGCATGAGCTCTGAAGTTGACGAGTTCGCGATTGACCAATGAGCTTCTTTGGTTAAATTCCACCCCGTATCTTGAATCCAAGTTTTGTATGACTAGTATCACACCTCATATAAATAATCCTTCAAATAAAAAAACAATTCCTCCACCTTCTCCCCCCTCGGACGTATCGGTGCCCCCTGGAACATTGCAAAGTGCGTAACAGTGCTGCCGCATCATTCGTTTTAGCGATGAAGGCATACCATCCCAAGCAGGCCTGGCATAGCCCCCCGCACCCGTCGGATCATACTATGCGGGCTCCCGCTCATCGCCAGAGATCATGTACCAACTGTTATCCAGAGCAGATCTCACAAAGTCCGCACGCACGCGCACATGTCGAAATCATAAAACCACACAACGATTGCAAACATTTCAACATGAAAAATAACCACACGTGCATTGATCATGGCAAACAAATATTTCCAACTGTCTGCCGGCGCGCATCTGCTGAAATCGCGCCCAACCACCCGATTTCCACAATCTCGCCCAGACACCGCGCTTTCATCTCAACACGCGGCGAATACGATTTTGTCCAGCATGCGCCCAGTGCACGGGTCCGCATCAATTAATGTCACCCGAGCTACACGCACTCACCCGCCCTGCGAAAAAAAACGCGTCGACATACATGTTTAAGAACCATGTGTGTTCGAAGCATTTCGAAATAGAAGTCTTCAAACGCGTGTGAAAAGTATGATCCAACAAAAGGCTTGCCAGGGTTCTTGGATGTCCGCGCGCGCACTTCCTTACCATCACCTTCATCAACACCGCTGCATCACGCCATCGTCATCGACAATCGCCGCCATTGCCGCCATCATCACTCAAGCACCGTCGTCATCGACACATGGACATCACTATCATCGGAATCGGCGTTACCAACATCGGCGTCGTCATCTGCCTTGCCGTCGTCATCACCACGTCATCATCGCCACCGCCATCGCTACTGTAGTAACCGTTGCCGCCAATGTCGACGTCATCATGATGCCACGCCCGCCCGGGCCACAGACCCGCATTGAAGTGCCCGCGCGCAAGCGCGGCCTTTGAGACGCGCTGGGAAGTTCCCATCGGCAAGCGCCATCACGGCCGCATCGGCTGTGCCAAGCCAGCTGGCCACTCTGCGCGCGAGCTTGCGCGCGCCAGCGCGGCCGCAGAGATGCGCCAGCCAGGGCAAAGCAGTCATCGATGGCCACCGTGTGAGTTCTGCAAAGCACGCTGCGGGTGGGAGGGTCGGGTGACTGCGCGAGCAGCGAGCTGACAGCTCATGAACTGGCGAATACCAGTTCCACCACGTAGCTTGCTCCAGAGAGCTTGCACAACATATATTGCACTACATGTAGGTCGGGCATGTCCTCCTCCAGGAGGATTTAAATGATAATAGTCAAGACATGCGGAAAAAAAACATGATAGGAAAAACGTCCCGTGGCAAATTGTTATGTTCGGATATTCCCCCTGTAGAGGGACGTGCCCGACTCAACACTACATGGCTGGCACCAGAAAGAGCGCACACCGAGCGAGCAAGAGTTCACTGTGCGGGGCCCAGGCTGGCACGCATTCGCCAGGGCAACTCTCGGCGGCGGAGAACGGCGCGCCGTCCCCGCGGCCACGCGCCGTGTAAGGCTAGGCGGACGGCACGCGGCGAAGTGGCGCTCGAACCCCGCCGACGAAGAACAACGAAGAACGACGGAGGGGAGGAGGAGGAGGAGGAGGAGGAGGAGGAGGAGGAGGAGGAGGAGGAGCAGGAGCAGGAGGAGGAGGAGATCGGCAGGATATCGGCATGAAAAGTACGCAATCGTACTAGGAGACGGGGCGTACAATGCGTCTTAGCACGGCCCTGCCCTCTCCCTATCATGCGTCTGCACAAGAAGCAGGCCAGCGTCACAACCTGCCCCCCAATGGGAGGTGCCACATTTAAGCGACGTGTACCTAGTCAGCATCACGACTAACGCAGACGCAGCCTGGGAGAGGGAGGGAGCAGAAGAGGGATGCAGGGCGAGCTGCAAGCAGGCACCAGAAACCACGCGAACAGTCACCTCCCTCACTCACGACGCACTCCTGGCGTCACAGCACCATATCCATGCCGCCCCGATACGCCACCCGAGGGGCACCACTCCCTCGGGCGACCGCTCACCCCCACGCACGCCACGGCGGGGGGCCGTGAGCAGGAGAAGGAGGAGGAGGAGGAGGAGGAGGAGGAGGAGGAGGGGGAGGAGGAGGAGGAGGAAGGGGAGGAGTAGGAGGAGGAGGAGGAGGAGGGGAGGAGAGGAGGAGGAGGGAAGGGGGAGGGGGGGGCGGAGGAGGAGGGGACAAGCACCTCTCAACACAACTGCAGAGACTCCGCGCCGCAGAGGCCGTGCGCCCCCCGGGCGCCGCCCTGCTGTGAGAACCGCCAGCGGGCAAAAGAGTCGTGCCGGGGGCCCGGGGGCGCCCTGCGAGCGCCGGTCGCCGCTTCCTCCGAGGGGGGCGGCCAGGGCGCCAGCGGGCGGGAGGCGGGATGCCGAGTTCTCTCCTTCGAGGAACGCCAGTGCACGGGAGGAGGGCAGTCTCCCCTCCCGTGCTGCAGTGCGCGTCTTGTCCCTCCTCCTCCCCGCCCTCCCCTCCTCCTCCCCTTTCCTCTCCGCGGCTTTCCCCCCCTCTCTTGGAAACGCCGGTACGTCCTTCTCCGTCCGCCTCCGTCCTCCGTCCTCCGCTCTCCGTCCGCCGTCCTCCGTCCTCGATCCTCCATCCTCCATCCTCCATCCTCCGTCCTCCGTCCTCCGTCCTCCGTCCTCCCTCCCCGATCCTCCGTCCTCCCTCCCCGATCCTCCGTCCTCCCCTCCCTCCCCCCTTCCTCTCCGCTGCCTCCCTCCTCTCTGGGAAGGGCCGATACGTCCTCCTCCGTCCACCGTCCTCCAGCCTCCATCCTCCGTCCTCCTTTCTCCGTCCTCCGTCCGCCGTCCTCCGTCATCCGTCCTCCATTCTCCGTCCTCCATCCTCCGCCCTAAGTTCTCCGTCCTCCGTCCTCGTCCTCCCTCCTCCCTCCTCCCTCCCCTCCTCCCCTCCTCCCTCCTCCCTCCTCCCTCCTCCCTCCTTCCTCCTCCCTTCCTCCTCCTCCTTCCTCCTCCCTCCTCCCTCCTCCCCTCCTCCCCCTCCTCCTCCTCCCTCCTCCTCCTCCTCCTCCTCCTCCTCTCCTCCTCCTCCTCCTCTCCCTCCTCCTCCTCCCTCCTCCCCTCCTCCTCCTCCTCCTCCTCGTCGTCCTCCCTCCTCCTCGTCTCTCCTCCTCCCTCCTCCTCCTCCTCCTCCTCCTCCTCCTCCTCCTCCTCCTCGTCCTCCTCCTCCTCCTCCTCCTCCGTCTCCTCCTCTGGAGGGGACGGGTAACTTACTGTCTCGGCAGAAGCGGCGGCGGCACCCACAGCACGGGGCGAAGAAGGACGCGAAGTTCCCCTCCCGAAGTGCTCGAAGTGCTGCCGGAGGATGGCGTCGTCCTGCCGTCGGGGCGGGGTTGATCACGATTGCTTGGCCGACGTGTTGATCGATTCGTCGATTGATTGATCGATGATGACCGATCGATCGATTGGTTGATCGATGATGTCCAATCGATGGGTTGGTCGATTGATCGATTGGTTGATCGATTGATTCATTGATGGATTGGTCGATCGATCGGTTGACAGATCGGTAGATTGGTCACCCCCCTCATCTGGGCCCTGGCGCACTGGCGCACTGGGAGTCCCGGGGTCGGCCTGGATGGCAGGCGGCTGCTTTCGCATCCTCAGCGTCTGCAGCACTCTGTGCTTGGCGCTCCTGGTGCGAGGTGGCACACCGCTGCAGGCCCAGGAGAACTAAGCAGCTGAAGCAGCAGGACGAGTTTACCCGCCGGGAGAAAAGGAGGAGGAGACGGGGGAGGACAACGACGACGACGAAGAGAAGGAGCAGGACGAAGAGGAGGAGCAGGAGGAGGAGGAGGAGGAGGAGGAGCAGGACGGCGGGGAGGAGCAGGACGACGAAGAGGAGCAGGGGCAGGACGACGAGAGGGAGCCAGGAGGAGGAGGAGCAGCAGCAGGAGGAGCAGGAGGAGGGGCCAGTCTGCCCGCCGGGAGACACAGCGGAGGGCGGGGGGCGGGGGGGGGGCAGACGAGAGGCCTCCCGAGGCTGCCCCCCTCGCGCGCGCCGAGGGGCCGCAGCCCGCCGGCCACGGGCTCCGCGGGCGGCGGGCGCCCGAAAAAGCCCCCCGTCGCCCCCGAGGGGGGAGGCCCCCCGAGAGCGGCCCCCGAGGTCGGAGGCGCGGCGAGGGGGGCCGATGCTCCATCACCACAGCCGCAGGACGAGGAGGAGGAGGAGGAGGAGGAGGAGGAGGAGGAGCAGGAGGATCTCTCCATCCTCCCTTCTCCCCCGTCCTACCTGTGGTAGCGATGGTGGAACATCAGCCAATCTGAGGTGCCTCCACAGCAGGGGTCGACCTGAACAATATTTTTCGTTTTCGTTTTGTATTCGGTTTCTCTCGTTTTGTCTTCAATCCGCCTCTGCTGCAAACGAAGTCGAGACGAAAACGGCCCACGAAATCGCCAAAACACGGTTTAGGTCGACCCCTGCTCCACGAGGGGGAGATGATCCTATATCCTGCTGGTGGTCATCTTCCAGCCACCTAGGAAGCCCGGAAACTGCCAGCGTCACCGAGATCGGAGAGCCTCTTTCCCCCTGGTGGAGGCACATCGCCGATACTGGTGAAGAGGAGGAGGAGGAGGAGGAGGAGGAGGAGGAGGATATGGAGGAGGACGAGGCGGACGAGGAGGACGAGGAGGACGAGGAGGAGGAGGAGGAGGAGGACGAGGAGGACGAGGATGACGAGGAGGAGGAAGAGGAGGAGGTCGGTACTATCCCCTAGGGTTCCGACGAGAAGGCGGGGGGGGAGGGCGGGGGAGCGGCGCGAGGCCCCGAGGCGTGCCGCGGCCGCGGCAGAGGAGGGCAGCGGCAGCAGGCGGCGCTGCGCCCGAGGAGCGGCGCGTGCGGACCTGGACGTCCGCAGAGGGCGCGGGAAAGAGTGGCACGAGGCTCAACAACCCAGAGATCCAACGCATTGAACAAGCATCAAGACGACCGTGTTTCGCGGCTTTCGGCCTCTAGGGGCCCTCGTCGGGCCCCGGGACCGTCAGACAGCGACTCAGGCTGAAGAACCGGTCCTGGGGCACGGGTCGAGACTTCTGGGGGCCCCGTGTTGGAAAAACTACAGTCGGGGCGTTGACCTAAGGAACCCTCAATAAGGAACGGGGCCCCTTCCTCCGATAAGTTGAGCTTCGATTTCCCACGGAAAACCTCAGGAAAACAAATTGCAAACTGCAGAACAATCAAGGAACACCGAGCCCCTCCCCAACGAAAAGGGTTCCTTCTTCAGGGCCCCGACTGTACGACACCGAATCTCTGGGAACAAGTGTTGCCAAACACCGACGGCTGCCGCTGTTGGGCAGGCGGCCTGCGGTCTCAAACGCCCGCGGCGACACCGACGGCGAGTCCTGTTCAATAGTGGACCGGGAATGCTGTCGATCTCTGTGGCACATGCTTTCCGTATCTCGGGCTGGGCGAAAGGGGGGGCTAGCAAAGGGGGGGGGTCAGAATCAGCGCACGCAGCTGATTTCCCCGGCGCCTCCCGGAGCGGGAGGCGCCCATGCATCGAGGAATGGGCCCCTCGGTGGGGCCGAAATCAGCTGCATGCAGCAAATTTCGTAACCCCCCCTTTCCCCATCCCCCCCTTTCGTCTGGCCCGACTGTGGCACGTGCTTTCCGTATCCATGTCTCAGCATGGGGGAGGCGGGTTCATGGCAAAACGGGCCCCGGACCCTGGGGCCTTCCCCTGGGACCAGCTCTTCCTCCTGAGCCGCCTCCTGCCAAAAGCGCTTCACCCTGAGCCCGGAGACAGCCCCTGGAGGCCCAAAGCGACGAACAACCTCACGACCCGTGTCCCTCCTGGCCCGCTTCCCCCATGGCGAGTTCTCACCGTCCCGAGCGAGGGGTGGGGTAAGACAACGCCAGAACGGGGCTAAAATCGGGCGAGGGCAAATCTAGAAACTCTGAGATCTGGCGGTTCTGGACGATGTCTCCGACGCCGCGGCATTCTCAGAGCGTTCTGGAACGCTCTGAGAACGTCTCGGAACGCTCTGGAAGGGATTGGTCCTGGTCCCCAGACCCCCGACGTCATGATTTGGTCACAACGTCAGACCCATCTGAGGGCTCGACCCGTTCCCCAGGGCCGGTTCCTCATCCCAGCTCGTTGTTGGACGGTCCCGGGGCCCGGCAAGGGCCCCCGGAGGCCGAAAACGGCGAAACACCTCCCGCCGCGATTTCTCGGGACCCAACCGTGGGGGGAACGGATTTCTCCTCGTCGCAGGCCCGTCCGAGGGGAGGAGGAGGAGGAGGAGGAGGGGGGGAGGGAGAGGGGGAGGAGGAGGAGGAGGAGGAGGAGGAGGAGGAGGAGGAGGAGGAGGAGGAGGAGGAGGAGGAGGAGGAGGAGGAGGGGGCCGCCGGGGGCGCTCCCAGCTGACAGGCATGTGGTATATGAAGAGGTTCGCCCCCACGGGCCCGGCCTCGCGGGAAGGGGCCGCCCCCCGCGGGAGGCCGCGGGAGCTCTGCATCCACCGCGCGGCGTCGGGGCGGGGCGGGGGGGAGGTGGGCGGGGGGAGTGGGGAGGATCGACGGGCATGGGGGGGAACGAGGAGGGGGGAGGAGGGGGAGGGAGGGGGAGGGATGGGGGAGGACGAGGAGGATGGGGAGGAGGACGAGGAGGAGGAGGAGGAGGGAGGAGGAAGAGGAAGAGGAGGAGGAGGAGGAGGAGGAGGAGGAGGCGGACGAGGAGGAGGAGGAGGAGGAGGAGGAGGAGGAGTCCTCTTCCACCCCTCCCGCTTTCCCATTTGGGAAAGGTTTACCCCTCCCCCTTACCCACTCCTCTAAACCTGGAGGGGGCGTTTCGCGAGGAGTTCAAGCGTCCAAGATGACCCAAGATGGCTCCAAGAGGGCCTTAGGGAGCCCAAGATGACCTCCGAAATGGCGCAAGATAGCCAAAGATGGCTCACGCGCTTACATATGCATAGCTGTACGTGCCCTGCCGTGTGGCGGGCTCGTGACACGCAGAGATGACACAGCACGAAGCAAGGGGAAGGGAGGGAGGAGGAGCAGCAGGGTCAGGAGTCAAAGGTGATCCCCTTCTTGCAACCCTGATTGCGCCAGCGTGTACACATAATGAGCCCATTGCAGCTTAGGGCGACCGCGCTTCCGGACCAAGTGCCACTGTCTTGGCGCAGTGCCCGCTGGCTCGCACACCAAAAGCCTCAAACAGTTATCGCGGGGCAAACGCGCTATTGTTTCATACGATTGCACGTGCATTCAGCGCAAGGTCTCACTCAGGGGGACAGCTTGCGC